TATATATATATATATATATATAATATTTCATGATAAAGTATTTAAACAGGTAATCGGTATCTCTATGGGTGCTAAGTTCTCATTAAATATGGCTAACTTGTATCTTTACTTTTATGACAACTTGTTTATGAACAAAGTAACAACTCCTGACAATAACCCAGAATTTAACCTTTCTGAAATTTCTCCTGTACTTGAATTAGAACGTAATAACAATTTAATTTACAAAGCGCCCTTTTAGATTTTTAGTTTAAAAGAAATATATCTGTTAGAAAATGAGTATTACTAGTTAGAAAATGAACATATGATTAATTAGAATAACAAGTATACATAATAATCAAAAGAAATATACTACTGGCTAAAAGAGGAGTTATCAAATTATACTTAATAGAATAAAAAGGAGTATACCTAGTAATCAATAATCAAAAGTGTACAAGCCTAAGTATATGTCCAATAAATGACACCATTTCTTTTCAACCAATCGCAAGATAGATGACCTGGCTCTTCCTTGCATCAAGATTAGAAACTATTGGAGTCATGTAGTTACCATGAGACACATTTGAAATGTTTTAGGTGTATAAGAAAAGCCAGAAAGGAGGCACTACTTACCCTTTAAATAGCATTTGGTGGGATATTTCTTTATTGGAAAATTAATAATGATAATACGCTATCATCAGCTTGCGTGGATATGGGTTACAGTATAAGGACTAAATCAATGAATATTTTAAATGTGTTTATTTGGTAGTATACAGGAAGCATATTTGACAAGCAAAATAAGTCTTTTTTTACCTAGCGGAATTTATTTTTTTCTGAATTATGCAGAAATGCAGGATTGAAGTCCTTTCATCGACAGTTACTTAGTTAGATGTTTATTTATGTTGATCTTATAGTTGCATAAAGGAGCGAGCTTCGTGAGTTAAAGAAAATAACAAAAATGATTAACTTACTTATCGCGAAGGTGACGATTTCCCACCAGATGGCCTACAATTTCCTCGATCCCTGCCATTAAATGGTCTATTGACTGAAAAGTAGGACAACACAAAAACTCTAAAATGAATATATTGTGATAGCTCGTAGTAATTCAGATATCTTTATCGGAAACATTTTCATTACCATGAAAAAGTTCAATAAACATTTTAAGTCATTATCTTATCTCAGGAAATTTTGTGAAAGACATTTCCTACTGGCTACACCAGTTACCATTGGCTTTTACTTGTCCAAAAGCAGTTGTCATTGGCTTTCACTTGTCCAGTGGGAAGTCTTGATGTAAAATGCTTTATTATTCAATTTGTTTTAAATGATAAAATAAAATAAGAAAGCACTGTTTAAATTCCATAAATCTTATATATAAAAAACTGAGATTACCACAATCATTCGTGATGCCATAGGTTAGTACAACTGACTTGTAAATAGTAACGGGTTCGAGTCCAGTTTGACCTCACTTTTAATTTTTTTACAATTCTTGTTAACTTCACAGATCGGAATATCAACTTAAGTTCCTGAATTTTTATTTTATATATATATACATATGAAAAATATTCCCACTTACTATGGTGTGTACTCTTTCATTCATTGTAGGTTTGGTTTTATTGCTTTTAGGAACTCTTAAAAATCTCACTAGAGGCCCAATCGTCATGCCCTGACAAACAAAATTAAGATAATGGTAAAACTTTAACAGTTGTTTTTTTAAGGATGAATACAACTTAAATTAGATGCTCACAACTAGTTCCACTCACAATAATGTTTGATGTAATAAAACATGAGAGTTGCTGTCATTGTAATAATTAACCATTTCTGAAAATAACTTGGCCATTAATATAGGAATAAAAACAATAAGGTAGAAAATATAGTATCTTTTGCTTTTTTTAATAGAGAACAAAAATTTGCTTGACATGATATCAGAGTAATGTAGAAGTAAGTAGCACCCCTTTTCTAAAGATTAAACAAAAATAAAACCAGTAGAAGCTTCATATATTCAGTAACTGAGCTAATATTATGCCCTACCTGAAGGAAAACTGTGAAATATACGACAGCTATGATTGTAGTAACCATCATTTTCTTAGAAGGAATGTGGTCCTCTGAGACAACAAGGACTAGAGCGAAGGCCACAGCTCCACGGAGTCCTCCATATGCCATGATAAACTGTTCTACCTTGTTCACCTTGTGTAGCCGGAAATAATTCAAAAACCATGTCTGGATCACAACACCTAGATGTTTGTCAACCAAATATCTCATGAATAAGAAGGTGTTTGTTAAAGAGGATCGGCCTAATAGCCCCTTCCTCCACTTTGTGTCAAACGTTTGGAACATTGTTATTAGATTTTAATACAAATTTATTCCCTTTATTAACATAACGATATAGAATTATACTAAATTAAATTTTCCTTTCATCTAAAATTTAAACAATTTCAATTTTAAAACACAAATAAAATATCTAAACGTAAAATTAAAATAAATAAAATTTAATAAATATGTATAATGATATAATCATAAAATTAATGGAAGCTAATCTAACCAGTAAGACTGGAAGAAGTGTGTTTACATAAATTAATCAGCATCCATATAACCAAACAAAAACATAACAAAATAAAATCAGTTCCACTCATTATTTTTATAATACCTTGCAAAAGTCTTCATCCACAGTGCTGGTAATAAATTTGATTATAAACTTATTATATATTTATTATATTAATCTCAGACCATTTTCTAAAGATTACAAAGAACAAAGATTCATTATTACCCAATTTAGCGATATAACACGAAAAAATATTGAAAACACATGTTGCAAAAGTCTTCACCGTCCTTACCATCATTGATTTAACTTTACGTTACTACCCAGCTAAAGTAAATACAAGATATCAAATACCAAAATGTATTATAGAGCCATGTGAAAAAATACTTTAGGTCATATAAAGCTATCGGTATTGATTTAAGAAGAGTATTTTGAAAGTGAAAATTTGGTTTACTGCTACATATTGAGAATGATGAGAAAAGAACTCTCTACAGACCTAAGGGAGAAGATTGTTCAGAAGCACGATTCCGGAGAAGGCTATAAATTAATTTCAAAGGTTTCAATTTGCCATTAAGTTCTGTAAAATCGGTTGTGAAGAAATGGAAAATGTGCCACATTACCTCAACCTTGCCAAAATAAGGTCGCTCGAACAAACAGAAAAATCGTCAGAGAAGCGACTGTCAAGCCAACAGTGACACTAAAGGAGCTGCAGACTTCAGTAGCAGCAACTGGAGTTACTGTACACATTTTGACAATATCACGTACCCTACACAAAAAAGGTTTGTATGGTAGGGTGGCAAGAAATAAAACAACTGCTGACGAAGATGCATCTTAGATCGCGAATGGACTATGTCCGTAACATTTCAATAACCCTACATCAATGTGACAGAAAGTTATATGGTTAGATGAGACCAAAATAGAACTTTTTGGTTCAAATGACAAATGGTGTGAAAAGCGGAAACTCAACACTGCTCATGACCCGGCAAATACAGTCCCAACTGTCAAGCATGGTGGTGGATCCATAATGCTGTAGGGATGTCATTCTGCAGCTTGTACGCATTCAAGGAATCATGGACAGTGCAAAATATACACAGATGTTGAAAGTAAACCTGGAGAAGTCAGCTGAAAAAGTAAAACTCGGTCGAAGGTTTACATTTCAACAGGACATTGATCTCAAACATAGATCAAAGGCAAACCAAGAATGGTTTCAGAGAAACAAAGTTAAAGCCCTTGACTAGCCAAGCCAAAGCCCAGACTTAAATCCACTCGAAAATCTGTGGAGAGACTTGAAAATTACTGTGCACTGAAGACATCCTTCCAACTTACAAGAACTGGAGGATATTTGCAAGCAGGAGTGGGTAAAAATATCTCCAGCATACTGAGAAAAGCTTGCGGGGAGGTATACAAAACGACTTTCAGCTGTCATTGCTGCCAAAGGATCTTCAACCAAATATTAACTGCATAATCATGTTAGGGGTGAAGACTATTGCAACATGTGTTTTTAAGATTTTTTGTGTTATATCACTAAAGTTAGTAACATTGCACCTTTTGTTCTTTGTAATCATCAGAAACTGGTCTGAGATTAATATAATAAATATTTTTTGTCATTTGAGTTATGTCTTTCCCAATAAAATAACTAAAGTTGATTACCGGCACAGGAGGTGAAGACTTTTGCAAGTCACTGTATATATTAACTTCAAATCTTCATGTGTATGCTCAATAACTTTGCATATTTTTATTAAAATATTTTTACCAAATATAACCTCTTAGGTTCTAGCAAGAGCATGGGCATTAATGCTTGTTTATATAAAGTAGAAAATGATGTATTCTTGTTAAAAAGGGTATATACCTTACAACTGTTTTAGGACATGATTCGTAGCGTTGCATACTCTCGACACCCATTCTCAATCAGTGCATTTACATTATACCTTGTATGTTTACTAATTATCTTTTTAACAAGCTTAACTCTTCGTCAAACATTTAAAAAAAATTTCGCGTGTAATCTCACGCTAAAGTAGCATAATCGTATTTGATAATTTAACAATTATTTGAGTAATTTTAGTATTAGTTTTAAAATTTTCTTACTAGTTTTTCCATGCTTTCTTTAATGATAGTTTTTATGTAGGTAGATGTACAAAAGGGGTATCAATGTATGAAAACTGGTGAAAACAATCTAACTAGTACTAATTTATCTCAAAGCTTCTATACAATTCCAATCGCTATTTAAAAAAAAACACACTTGACATTCACTTTTTTCGAAGCTGTATTAAAATTGAATATCGAACAATAACTATATCTTTGTTCCATCAAGATTATTTCCAATGTTTTAACTGCTTGTTCCTTGTATGGGTATTTGTTTACTACAGCATTTTTTAATATGTCTGACGACAATTCTTCTTTTGTACCAGAATCTTTGCAGCTTTCTCGTAAGACGAAAGTTAGATCCCATCACTTTCTATGTAGTCTTGAAGTGAACCTGCTTTTGTAATTACATAACCAATTGCCTCTTCATCAAAGTCTTCAGTAGGACATTAGTCTTCAATTTTAGAAAGAGCATTTCAATGTTCAGACCTGTCTTAATCATATTTTGTACATTTACCTTTCACGTAGCACAGACATTTCGTCCAGACTGTCTTCGTGTAAACCAAGTTACCATCTAGTTTTAAAGTTGGCAGATAATGGATCAAGATTTCCAGTCCAAAAAAAGTTTAGTTTATGCACGTGCTTTCCACTGTGGAAATCTCATATTTCTGTTAGTCCCATGCATGCTGAATCACGTTTCTTACTGTTCTCACAAAACTAGAAGTGTTTTAGATTAAATCCGACCCAGGCTGGTGCGTATTATAGTTGACTTCTGTAGTAATTCCATTTGCCAGCTTGATAAACACATTCTGAATGCACATCACGGTAAAGCTCATTAGGAAAAACGTCTTTTGAATGTTCAATGTAGCAAAACTGAAGTCACCTGAGTCTGGACAAAATATCAATAGTGAAAGCACAATTACTCTGAAATCATAATAGAAATCTTGGTAAATGGATCACTAAACTCCAACTTGAGCGATACTAATCCTAATCCAGCGTTGTCTAACATCATTCATACATAACAGCAAGATCCCCAGTGGCATAGCGGTATGTCCGCGGACTTATACTGCTAAAAACAGGTTTTCGATACCCGTGGTGGGCAGAGCACAGATAGCCCTTTGTGTAGCTTTGTGATTAATAACAAACAACAACAATACATAACAGCAGAAGAATTCTAGTCAAAGACATTTTGTTCAGAATAGTAGATGATGATGGTATGTCAAACTTATGCTTGAGATCACTATGTAACTTAGGTCCGTCACCTGTGAGGACAAAATAGGTAAGTTTGTAATCAGTGTATCCCTTAACGTGACAATTGCTCTGCAGCATCACGGAGGATCAGACATACGAAGGACATGACTCTCACACTCTTCAAACATTAGATGATCAGTTATCGGAGTCTTGGTATATCAGACTCTGCTAAGGAAAGATGAAACCTTTCATGAATAGGAAGAACTCGAATGAATTAGATGTCCGAGTAACAGACGGGATGGTTGTTTTCAGTTGCTGTTTCCTACTGATCACGTGAGTGTCATTAATAGGGAATATGTGACCTTGAACTCGCAAACAGACGGGATGGTTGTTTTCAGTTGCTGTTTCCTATGATCACGTGAGTGTCATTAATAGGGAATATGTGACCTTGAACTCGCAAACAGACGGGATGGTTGTTTTCAGTTGCTGTTTCCTATTGATCACGCGAGTGTCATTAATAGGGAATATGTGACCTTGAACTCGCAAACAGACGGGATGGTTGTTTTCAGTTGCTGTTTCCTATTGATCACGTGAGTGTCATTAATAGGGAATATGTGACCTTGAACTCGCAGACCTTTTTTCAATCGAACGAAATGTCTTTAAAAGCTTTAACTGTTTAAATTCTTAGCAACATTTTTGGCTCTAATTTAAAGTAAAACATTGTCATCGATGCAATTATCATGAAAAAGTCTTTCGTTTATAGGTTTGAAAGGTAGAGGCAGATGATCATGAAGAGCAAAGGGATTGTACGAATAAAATGAACCTCCGAGATCTATGTTATAATCAGAACATCAGACTTCTTCTTGCGCAGAGATACTGCACTTGTTAATGTATTTTGTGAAGGTTCTGTAATGCCATCGTAACTGTATAGAAATTATGCGATAGTCAAAACGAAGAAACGTTATTTTCGACAGGGACTGACACACTTCTGTCTTACTTCATCTTTCATCACTGTTCTGAATCTGATATACGGCAAGTGTTTTCATTAGTGAACATTCTGAGGGGCTTTATCCTGCTCAAAACAACACATGATGGTACAGCTGAAACTAATTCAGGTCTCTTGAACGTTCATATCAACACATGGTGGTACAGCTGAAACTAACTCGAGTATCTTGAATGTTCATATCAACACATAGTGGTACAGCTGAAACTAACTCGGGTCTCTTGAACGTTCATAACAACACATGGTGGTATAGCTGAAACTAATTCAGGTCTCTTGAACGCTCATAACAACACATGGTGGTACAGCTGAACTAACTCAGGTCTCTTGAACGCTCATATCAACACATGGTGGTATCGCTGAAACTAACTCAGGTCTCTTGAACGCTCATATCAACACATGGTGGTATAGCTGAAACTAAC